TAAGTATGCGAAAATCTATAAGAAGAGAGAAAGAGAGAAGAACTCTTTCCAAATTCAATATTAATTCACATAAATCGAGGAAGGTAGACCGCATATCAATTAAATGTCTCCAAACAGGCACGAATCAACACACAACTGGATTTCTCACCCTAAATATATTACAAGGGTTTAAGGATAGGAACAGTGCCTTGTATGAGCCTATTAGTGTGCAGATATGGTTTTAAAGAGGTTTTAAATGCTTAATGACCAAATCTTGTTACTGACGAAATGAGCAAAGTAGAGTTTCCACACATTGATAGTCACGTAAAGTTGCAATTTTTAATTATCTTGGTAACAAAATGAAGTTGATAATGTATCACCCTGAGGCTTCCCTGAAGACGAAATAATATATTGTAGGACGATTCTCCTTGATCCCCTCTTCTCTGTTTCGCACACTCTTGAAACAACCAGGTTGGTTTGATTTTGATGTTTATTAGGATGAGTGAATGAGAGAAGCAAGTACAGTTTCAAGGAGGTGTGCACACGGAACCGCCCTCGATGTTGCAGGACGCTGACGCTTCAGTCACGAAGTTCGATTCGTATCCCCACCTCCTCCCTCAAAGGCACATTAAGACAACGTAAGTATTACATAATCCCCTCGTCCTTTTAGCACTGTTCCCGATGCTACCACTTATGAGCTCCTCTCGAAGTTGCCATTCGGTGGTTTCCTGCCTTCGGTCAGGGCGTTAATCTCATCTTCATATCCAACCAATGGCGCCCCCTTGTTAGGTCGCATCTTGTTTTGGTGAATGTTTACCAGCTGGGTACGCAGTTGTGCGTTGCTGACGGGGTTGTTTGTAGGCGAGAGCGCTTTCACCACCTAAAATGGGTTCTTGCCCCATGGATTATGAAGCTTGCGGTGTATTACAAGTGGGGAAATCGGCCTGTAAATTTGCACTAAGTCTTCTTCTCGGTAGACGTTCGTCCAGGTGTCGGTCGTAATATTTCCTCTGTCTGATATGAGACCGACGTAAATGTTTACGTACGATGTTAAAAGTTTTCTTATGCCTTCATTCACACGCTGTATGTACTCTAGGAAATTAATGGCTGATTCGTCGGTGTTTGGCAGGAAGATGTCGGAAGATACTCCCAAATCACAACCTGTGAACATCTTGAAAGGAGAAACACCCGCTGACGTATGGACCGTAGCTCTGTATGCGAGAAGAACACGCCCTATGTTTAAATCCCAGTCATCTGGTTGTGCATCTGTAGTGAAGGCCTTCAGTAGTCCGAGCAGAGTGCAGTTCGTTCTTTCCACTTGGCCGTTGCCTTGCAGGTGTTCAGGTGTTGTGCGTGCCTTTGAGAGCTGGGAGGTCTTACATAGTTCAGTGAAGAGTCAGCTCTCGCTTTGAACAGACTCAAGCACTTTATGCTGGCAAATCCACCGATTGAAGCACATGAGGCAGCCGTTTCAGCGTCTTGTGACTTCACGGGTTCTGCCTCAGCCGCTTTCCTGAGGTAGTCTACCATAACCCAAATATATCGGCTTCCTCTCTTGGTGGGCGGTAAGGGATCCATAATGTCTATACCTACTCTTTCCACTGGGAAACCGATAGGCATGGGTTGTAAAGTTCCAATTGCTGTGGGTTGGGAACTTTTGAAACGGCTGCAAGTGATACAGGTTCGGCAGAAGTCCCGTACGTCTGAGGTGAGTGAAGACCATCAGTATTGTTTGCTTGAGGCAGCTAGCATCTTCTTGTTACATCTTCTTGCAACTCTTGAAGGCTTGTTTGTACTAATGAGCCAGGGACCACTAGACGCTTAGGGAACTCGACGTCTTCTTGATACTATGTTACCTCATCC